CCTGAGCAGCTTCTAATTGGCATCCCTGCCCTTCCCCCTTCTATCTTTTATTTAGCTTTATTTTATTTTTTTGCCTTCTCCCTTTTGATCCGTTCTCCACTACCTAGAGGGCTCTTCTCACATGCCTGGGCAGGGTGTCAGCCCCTCCCTTGTCCCATGGCTCTCGGGGGTAAAGAAAAACACTTGTGACACAGCCATTAAGGCCTTGCAAACCTTTTAGATCTTGGAGTCATTCACCTTAACTCACCATTTCCCTTCTTTATTCCTCCTGGCGTGCCGCTGTCCGCCCTCCGCTGCACGTTCTCTCCCCTGTGGGCATGCTGCTGACCCCTGCTCCTTTGCAGAATTAATGCCTGCACACCGCAGATCTGACCTCTCAGTCACTCCAGGACACTCCCTGACTTCCAGACTAGGCAGCATTCGGTGTACGATGCACTTACGTTTCACCACGTTTTGTAGCTAGGCGTTTATTTGTGTGATTTTGTGGGCTTCGCCCACCGGATTGCAGGCTCCATGAGGGCAGATTCCGTGTTTGTGTGTTTGCTGTTTGTAGCAGCAGCGCCTGACATGGTGTCTGGGACGGAGTAAGCGCCCTGAGCCCACCTAGACCTGGTCATATAGTCAGCCTTTGCCAAGTGCACACTGTCTGTAAAGCCGTGTGTGGAGGTGCTTTTAAGAGGAGCGTAGGAGTTAAAGGCACACAGTTCTCATCCTTAAAGACCAGGACGTCTTACTCGGGAAGCAGGAAAAACACGTAAACACACGTAGAAATAAGTGCCTTCATCTTTAAAGAAACACCTGTGTAGGACTTGTGTACTTACTGGAGACATTTTTGCTGGCAACGTACGGCTGGCACAAGAATGATTCTTTGTATGTGAAGGTAAGTCCTAATCACGGTTTGCTTTGTGTGAAGCTAGTTGCAGGATTAGCTTAAATATTCTGTAACGATCTTCTAGAGACTGGAAATAGAGGATTTTGAGTTATTTCGTGAAACATGATGGCCTGTTAACCACTCAGTCAAAATTGTGCAGTGGTGGGAAATGATTTCTCTGCATGTTAGATATTTCACGTGTATAATACACATCCAAAAGGTACAGCACATTTGAAACAAGCTAAAAGCCTAGTAAGGTGTAAATTCTCTTCTTTAATTTTATTTATGTATTTTGAGAGAGACAGAGGGAGGGCGCCAGCAGGGGAGGGGCAGAGAGAGGGGGACAGATGATCTGAAGTGGGCCCTGTGCTGACCGCAGAGAGCCCGACGCAGGGCTCATGACCCACGATGTATGCTGACCGTGAGATCATGACCTGAGCGGAAACCAAGAGTCAGACACTTAACCGACTGAGCCACCCAGGCGCCCCTTAAGGTGTGAATTCTTTACCAAAAATGATGGTAAGCAATTCCTGTAGTTAGCTGCAGTACAAGTCAGTAGCTTTCATTTATTTCGGTTACATAGTGAAGTCCCCGTTCCTTCTGTTGGGTCTGCGTTGGGTAAGAGAGTATATGCTTAGAATTTTCTTAACGTTAAAACCACCGGAAATGGGAATGTCTCTTGTCTGCACACCACGCTTGTTGCCTATGCATTACGACTGCATTTAACTTCTGTTTTCCTCTCCCTTCTGTCTTGGCATGCTTGCCCTCTCTGCCTGGACACCAGGAGCAAAAGCGTATAGATGGCACAACCCGTGAGGTGAAAAAGGTTAGGAAAGCCAGAAACAGGCGCCAGGAGTGGAGTATGATGGCATATGACAAAGAGCTTAGACCCGACAACAGGCTGTCTCAGAGTGTGTACCACGGAGCGTCTTCCGAGGGATCCCTGTCCCCAGACACTAGGTGTGTGTGCGTGTGTCGGAGCAGAGCCTCTGCGTAGTGCTCGGTTTTATCGTACATTGGAAACGTACCAGTGGCTTTCGTGTTCACGTGGCCCGCGGGACGTTTCAAAGCTTTCCTTAAAAGTCGATTCTGTATATGTTTTCGATTGTGAAATAATCCTTTAAAACAGTTTCATTTTACATTGGGTCACATCGTATGATTCTCCACCACTCTGACTTCAGTTTATGGTTCCATTAATCTAGACGCTGTGTTTTAACGTTGATACTAACTTGGGGCTTGATAACCGTCGATGACTGACATTTTTATTTTAATAATCATTAATTCTTTCTCTTCGGCTTTAGCTTAGAATCTCGAATTTCCTTTGCCACCTGGTATCTAAAATTAATTAGTAGGTAGTAATTGATGTGCCTGCGATGCAACTTTATTATTCTTTAAATAACCTTTTCTAAGAGTGGTGAGCAAAAGCGATAGTGTTTTCTTCGGTGCACTAATCTTGTGTATTCTAATTTCAGGAGAAGAGTTCTGTTGGAGTTACTTTAAGAATTTGTAAGCATTTAAGTAAAAAAAAAAATATTCCTTGCAGGTGTGAATGACATGGTCACTAAGCCACCATTTGTTGCAAAAGGGATTCACCGAACGACAGAAGCTGACTAGTCCATTTTTACTTCTGGTTTAATTTCCTGTTTCTGCTTTTGTAAGGTCATGGTCTGCCACTTGCCTGCAGCCTCAGAGTCTTCCGTCAACATTTCAAAATTCCAATAGAGAATTCTTAAGTGACACAAGAATGTTCTAAAAATAGCCAACAACCTGGACGTCGCATTACATCTGTGTCTTTTTTTTTTTTTTAATGTTTATTATTGAGAGAGAGAGACCATGAGCGGGGGAGGGGCAGAGAGAGGGGGAGACACAGAATCCGAAGCAGGCTCCAGGCTCTGTGCGCGGAGCCTGATGCGGGGCTCGAACTCAGGACCCACGAGAGCACGACCTGAGCTGAAGGCAGACGTTTAACCGACTGAGCCACCCAGGCGCCCCACATCTGTGTCCTTTTTAAATTTTTATCTCTGTAACCTAGGCGTCTAGTCCGCTCTGCACAAGTGGCTTTGTCTTTGGTAGTTACCATGCCCAGAAACATCCCTGCCCCAGAAGGGCTGTAAGTCTTTGACTGGCTATGTTAGGAGGCAAGTTCTAGGCAGTTTTTGTGTACTGGCTGTTACCTGTTCAGTATTAGAGAATTAGCGGAGCCTTAACTGAGTGCTTGCCTCAAGTTTGAATCTCTGTGTCCATTTATTTCCATAGAAAATAACAACGACGATCCGGGTTGCTCACGCCTCTAGGGGTGAGGAGGGGTACTTGAATACGATAGCCTTGAGAGTGTCAGTTGGCTTTTTGGCATTTTTTTCCCCAACTAATTTCGGTGTGCCTGTTTACTCATAGGAAACCTATGCTTTATTTTATAATACTCCGTATGCTTGTTCTCCCATTTCAACAGATGCAGGTGGAAAAATGATTTTTTCCTCCCTCAGTTGAGGGAGGGTTACTCACTCTGGCATCCGAGATTCCGTTGTTCCGTGTTGGGTATAAAACTGACGGTTGCTGAGACTATTTAGTGTTCAGCCTTTGTATTTATGTGGTTCAGGTGCATCTTCATTTTTCTTGGTTTGCAGAATGCAAATCCCATTTCCCACAGCCTCTTGGCCATCTGCACACACGAGAGAATAGATTAAAATTCATCCGTGTACTTGGATTCTGTCCCTTAATTTAGAGACTTTTTTCATTTTACTAAACTGTATCACTCTTTCTTCATATAAAATAAGCTTTTTATATTTGGAAAGTACCAACGAAAAGTAAAATATTATCCATAATCCTATCATCCAGAGAAACCCCTTTCTGCATTTTAGTGTATTTCTTCCTTTGGTCTTTTTTTCAGTACACATACATGTTTTTTCTTTTACAAAATTGAAATCATGCGCCATGTTTTCTGTCTTTTGACTTTTATTATTTCATATTTATGTTTTAAGTATTATTTAGAAACAAGGTTTTTAATGGATAATATTGAGGACAACTGAAATGCCAGATTTCACGGCATGTATATAACCTGTTCGTGTAAGTAGTGTGTTTGAATCCAACCCAGGTAAACTAACCATGAGATTTTGCTCCACTGATCAGGAATGGTTTGATTCTAAGCATAAATTTAGGATGAGAATTGACACACTTGCCTCCTGCTCTCCCTTGCCCTCCTCAGGGGTAGATACCTCCAGCCCAGGTGTCCTTGTGTTTGTCTCTTCCTGTCCTGTGCCCGTGTTACAGCCGTCCCACTGCCCACCTGTCTACCCACAAGACCCTGGGGGAGTCTTTTGATTCTCCCACTGCGTCTCCACTGCCTGCACTTTTCTTCTTCCTTTTTCCGTGTGGTCTTCACTCCTACCAGTCCTCCTTTGTGTAACGGACAGTCAGTGATGACCATGACGTTTCAGGACCACCCCACTCGTCTCCACGTTGGTACAGCATCTTCTGGGGCTGACTGCTACCTTCCCGCGGGGATGTCTGGCCCCCACCGGGCCCCCGAATCCCCACCTTTCCTCCAGCCCACTGGCGCCCTCCCGCCTCAACAGGACAGGCCCCCTCCAGAGCAG